TGGAGGGATAAAGTGCCTTTTCTTGGTTTTTGCAGGCACATGCACTAAGTACACACACACACACACACACACACACACACACACACACACACACACAATTAAAAAATAGCAAACTGAATTTTTAAAATAATTTCAACCTGAGGAAATGTTTTTCACTTGGCCTCATGTAGTTAAATTCTGCAGCTGTTTTTGATGAATTTGGTGAACTTCTCTGTTAATCAAACAGTTTCTAAATAAGATAATTCTTTGCCAGTGCTAGACCATTCTTTTTAACTTTATCACACTTTTCAAAAATAATTTGATTTAAAACTTCTTTCACTTGTATTAGAAAGTGGGAATCAATCTGTACTCTCTTTAATATATGGTATTTTGCCATGAAATATAAACAATTGCTCCTGGGAAGCAAAAGTATATGTGAAGATTTCATACTAACTTCTGAGACAACTTGTGCCTGACGAACTTAGTGAAAATAAAGTTATTTCCACTAAGATTTTAGTAGTGCTCACATAATCACCTAATCTCTACATTTTCATGGCCACAGTACTTTAATATTTCAATAATTTCTAGGATTTTGTTTGTATAATGTTAAATGCAACATTTTCTTCTTTCTAGGATCTCCATTTTGTAAGATGAGCAGTAAAACATCCGTTTTTCTTCAGAATGTCACTGAAATGTCTCTCTCTCCTTGATGTCTTGGTCTCTTAAAATTCACCAGGGATGGGTTTACTTTCACACCAACATTGTTGAGTAAGTCGCCTTCTGCAGGTAACTTCAGAGGTGCGCTTCAGGTTGCTGAGATGATCTTCATCTATTTAAATAGTTGAAGTGCAGTCACATGACAAGATGCTTTCTTACCATGCCTTTGCAAATTTCCGTTCTGACTTCAGTGTTTATTTTGCTCTTTTTATACATTACAGTGATAATCCACAGAGAGGATAAGCCTCTTGTTCTTCCTGTCCTGTCAAACTGGCCATCGTACCCACATCCCTGGAAAGTATAGCTGGAACCCGGCTGCACTTTCTGTAGCACATTTTACATGTCCATCCTATCAGAAGAATATGCTTTATTTTAAGTTTCTATTCTGAAATGACTCCAAAATGACAGAAAGTTTGCAAAAATGGTGAGTAGCTAACATTTCTCTGGACTCCTTATATGATAACCACCCTCACCTCTAACTCCTTTTCTTAAATTGCCAGAAGTAGGGGAAAATGCATTGCCCATGTACATCTAACTGCTTCTGTATCTCCTTGGCAATGTTCCTATGTATGACCAGTTGAATCAGAAAACTGGCATTAATACAGTAATTTATTATTGCAATAAAATAAATAGTAAATAATAGTAAAACAAAACATGCAATTTTTTTTTTCAGTTTTTCCAATAATGTCCTTAGAAGCACAATATTGTCTTCCGGTCCAGAATTGCTGTTATACCTGGTTGCTGTGTGACTTTTGTCTCCTTTATTCTGGAATAGCTTTCATTTGTTATTTTTTTTTCATGACTTTGTCATTTTCAAAGATACAGGATAAATACTTTGGTAACACTTTCCTCAATTTTTGGTTTACCTAATATTTCTTCAGAATTGGGCAATACGTTTTTAGCAGGAATTACCACAAATGTGATGCGGGTCCTCAGGAGGCACATGATGCCTATTTATGCCATTACTGGTGAACTGACTTGCTCACTTGGTGAAGGTGGCGTCTGTCAGCTTTCACCCATAATGTTAATATTTCCCCCTTCATAATTAATGAGACTCTGTGGTGAGATACTTTTAGATTTTAAGAATATACTATTTCATAAAATAGTCATACTCTGGTTTTAGTATCCAGTGATGTCTTATGCCAGAATCACATATTCCAATAGTTATTGTAGTATAGTAGAATTTTAATTCTGTATTTTTCTCTATTCTATAGTTAATACTTATATAATGGTAAAATTTTCCTCCTTAAAATAACTACATATTTGTTTTATAATGACCTTGTTAATTTTCACAGTAATTAACTTTAGTGAATTATAAGGCATTATCATTATTTATTTTGATATATAATTTCTCCTAGACCTAACTAATTAGAGACACATTCAGTCCTGTAGTGTGTGTGTGTGTGTGTGTGTGTGTGTGTGTGTGTGTGTGTGTGTGTGTGTGTGTCATGTCCTCATTTGAGGGAATACAGGTGTGATTTATTTATCTTTGTCCGTAGTTGGAGGTGTCCAACCTCATATTTTATAAACAGGCTTGAGTGTAGGTGAGGTTACTGCTACTAGAGTATCATCATTTCTAGTTTACTTCAGTAAACACATCTAAGTATGTCCACAGAACTTTACCTATCTGTCATCTATCAGTCATTTACCTACCTTATATCAACCTACCCATCATCCATCCCTCCCTCCCTCCCTCCCTCCCTCCCATCCATCCACCCATCTGTCCGTCCATCCATCCATCCATCCATCCATCCATCCATCCATCCATCCATCCATCCATCATTTATCCATGAGCTAAAATAGGCACCTTCAGTTAAAACATCATAATTCCTTTCAGATTTTTTTCTTTCCACAGTTGTAATTTGTTCTCTGACACTGGCTAATCCATTTGGTTTGACCAGGGTTTATGCCATAGATGTAATTATTGAGAACAGAGTGAAACACAGACTTTGGAGACAATTACTGAGAGTATGAATATCTCACTTTCTTTTAATAGGTTGGTAACAAAGACTGTTGGGGTCCAGCCCCTCTATCGTCTTCTCCCAGGATTCCAGAAGAGATGTTACCAGCAGCAAGAATTAATCTGAGGGGTTCATGAGTAAATCTATGTAGAAGAAACTCTTTAGTCCATTCACTTTACTCTTCTGAGTCAGTTCTCTCTCTCTCTCCATGCTTCTTTTCTGCTCTTGAACTTAACTCCTTTCTTGCCCAATTTCTCTCTACAATTTTCTGCTGTTATCTCTGAGTTCTATCTTAATTCTCCCATCTCGTTTTTTCCCCTATCTTGTTCTTCCCTTCTAGCTCTTCTCCATCTTCCATCTTGTTCTTCTAGTCCTCTCTTCTAATCTCCCCTTCCTCTCTCCCCAGTCCAGTTTAAATAAACATACATTCTCTGACTCTGCTGCTTTCTAGTCAGGTGGGGGCAAGCCGGCTTGGTAGCTAGGTCACCTGCGTCACAGCTAGATGTACCTCGTAAGTAAAAGCCATTTAGTTCTGGGTGAATTGTTAAAGGGAGATCTAGAATTAGAGATAACACTTGGAGGAAAGGAAGGTCAAGCTTAATTAGCCCATCCTCCAGGCCTTTACTAACAGATAGTCTGTATGCTTATCTGTCTGCAGTCAGTTCTTAGAAAGTCTGGGAAATATTTCAGATAAGATACTCTCATCCAGAGAAGGTCCTGGCTGGATGTTGCTAATGACGATAATTATAGAAAGGCCTGAAATTATGAATCTGGCTGTGCGACTGCTTTTCGCACAGTTGGGAGATGTATATCCAAATACTTTAATTGTAAAGGAAAATTGTGTCCAATGAATGATCAAACACACTGTTCTGTAAATGAAAAAGCTACAACAACACACGAGAAATTCATAACAGGAAATGGCTAATATTCAAAAGCCAGTATCACCAAGGCTCCTTAAGCCTTGGCTTTATTCTCTGGAAAGGCTTTTGGCTTCTTCCAGGTATACCTTTATTATAATCAGCTGAATTCCTACTTCATATTCTGTGGCCTGCAGCATATTTGTGTCCTCTCCTTTAATCATTGGGAGTTAAAAGTAGCCACATACTTGGATTATCTTTTTTTTTTTCAAAAAAAGATTTATTTTATTTTATGCATATGAACATTTTGCTTGCATGTATGTATGTATACTGAGTGAATAACTGGTGTTTTTGAAGACCAGAAGAGGGCATTGGATCCTCTGGAACAGGAGTCACTGAAGAATTTGGCCACCATGTGGGTGGTGAGATCTGAACAGGTGTCTTCTGAAAGAGCTATAAGTGCCCTTACCTCCTGGGCCATCTCTCCAGCCCTTGCATAGTTTTTCTTGAAGATTATCTCCAGATGGAGCTGTTATCTTCCCACTGAGAATTTTGCCTATACAGTAGCCAGTATGGACCTCTAAATGGATCACATGTCCCATGAACTCTGCAGCAGTGTTTTGAGGGATGGACAGAGGGAACAGTCTGCTCCTGCCCAAGCAGTCAGCATCTAGATCTGCTTAGAATTTTAAGGCAATAATAAAACAACACAAAAATCAATCTGATTTATATTATAATCCTGCTTCATCAACTTCAATCACTTTTTAGTGATATAATATTCTTCTATGTTGAGTTGGAATGTTCTTACTTTGTCAACTGGGACATCGTTCAAGGTAATGTAATATGAAAAGTAGCTAGACTGCATAACTGCCATTCTGTCTTTTTACATGTGTTTAAGATAGAATTTCGTATTTATCTAAACTTTTAGTAAAGAATTCTTTTGCCTGTAAAAATCCCATCAGGTCTGAACCTGTCAATAAATTTCTACTAATATATTTTTTTCTACCTGGGTATGGTGAATACACCCTATGAAAAGACATTCAATTTTTAAGATGTATTTTACTCTGATTTTATGTATGTATGTCTGTATATGTATATGTGCATATTAGTGCAGGGTCCATCAGAGGCCAGAAGCATCTAATACCCGTGAAGCTGGACTTATAGGTAGTTGTGAGTCACTTGACATGAGTCTTGGAACTGAACTATGGTCCTCTGCATGAGCAGTACAAACTCTTATCTCCTGAGACGTATTTCAAATTCATGTGTATTTTACCTTTGTATATCTCCTGGAACCCTGTATTAAGGAAACATGACTTAAAATACTTAAGAAACATATTTAATCTTTAAAAGTAGTTTAAAGAATGATTATTTCAAAGTTCTCCACTCCCACACAACTGGCAATAGATGTTTTATTGTTGTTGTTCACCAATGAAATGATGGACATGTAGAACAGATAGAGAACATTCTCATGTCCTCATCTGAGATCTTTGGTAGAATCTTTAATTGTCCTTCAATGTCATTCAAGGAAACATCACACACATCTTTTTTTTTTTTTTCCTCTAGAGATGCTATTGGATTGAAGAACATCTGCAACCATCTGAAATATGTTTCCCCACGTTTTTCTTTAATATTTCTATAGATATCAGAATTCTCACAGTTTCTGTGAAATGATTTTCTGAACAAACATCATTTATGCCTATGTCTTGAGTAGTGTCAATCTGAACTGAAAATGTGTCAACTTTTTAACATTCTCAAATTCTACATTTAAAATCACAAAGAATCCCTTAAAAGAGGTTGGGTCATGATAAAATTTGTTTCAGAACAAAGTGACTGGTAAAAACCTGAAGTTCTAGAAGAAATAAAGAACACAGTCCTCCCAGCCAAACAACTACCTTCTTCATTGGGTTGGCTGTGTCTGTTTGATGGACTCCATCAGGACTACACTTGTTGGCTGCTGATGTTTCTTCATTATAAGTGGAGGGGGGGAGAATCCTGGGACTCTCAGCTGAAGCTCCAACTATTCCTCTCAGTCATTTGTAGGCTAACAGGCATAATTGCATATAACGCTCTTTAAACTGTTAATTAGATAATTGCATTTTAAATGATTTAATTCTCATAAATTTAATCCTTTTCCACGAGTTTATCAAAACTGAATTCTGTGAAGCTATTTATGTCCTCAAACTGCTTTTTGAAATAGAAGCAAATATAAATGTTTGTTATATTTATTGGGGAAACCTCATTAACTGGATCTTTTCTATATAGTAGAATTGGTTTACCAATTTGGGTAGAGATAGAGCTCAAATTTAATATCTTTTTATATTATGGGTATACAGTGTAAACTCACTCAAAGACTTTTAAGCATATTGAGTGATAATTTAACATTTAAAAAATTGACAACATTGCTTTGATTCCAATGGATAGCTTCATAATAAATAAGTAAATAAATAAATAAGAAGTATTTTATTAAAAACATTAAGCAGTCTGACTCACTATTAATCCTGGTTGTCTCTGCCTTTATTTATTTGCTACTTGTATATTTTACTATCTGAAGATAGGATTCAAACCCTGCTCTCCCATTAAGAGGGATTATGAAGTTGATGAATTTGTTTATATCTGGCAAACTCAGTCTTAAAAATGAAAGTTCCTGTCCATTTCATAGTGATATTGAAAGACCACATGAGCTGAATGCAGTTGAAAGATTTTTGTGATTTACAAATCTGTGTAATATTAAATAATGTTTTTATTGTTTATTCAAATGCAAAATAGACTATTGACCTAGCCGCCTTGCAACTTTCTGCCTCTTAAAAATGATAACATGGTACGCTATTTCTCAAACCCAAGAACTAGAGTTACCAGGAAGGTACTTTCATGCTAATGGTTTGCAGCTATTCCAATTCTCTGGACCTCTTTGGGGGCTTGAGAATTTGCACTGGTGACAATCTCCCAGGGAATGCTGTAGGCACTAGTTCAGGAAACATACATCATGAACCATTGACTTACAGGGTCAGAGAGATGACTCAGCTCCTCTTCCATCCTACCAGGGTTTGATTCCCAGGACCAACACTGTGTTCCACAAATTCATGTAATTCCAATTCAAAGGGATCCAACACCCTCTCTTATGTTCTCTGGGGGCATCACACACGCATATGATACACAGATATGCATGGAGGCAATATACCAATACACAAAACAATACAAAGGAATTACTGTCTTATAATTCAAGACTGTGCCCATCAGACAAATATGACATGCAAATAATAACATTGAACATATTAGAAATAAATTGTATTTGCCTGAATACATGATCTCATTATGCTTTTTTTCTAGATTTCATCTCCATGTCCAATAAATTAACAGCCCCATGTAATCAAAGGCATTAATATTTTATGATAATTAGTATCATTATTTTCTATTACTGCTTTCCAGTTCTAACACACCATTATCAGTTCCATAGTTGAGAGCACAGAAGTTGCTATCTCTTGAACACAACAAACCTATCAGAACACACTTGATTTTATGCATTTGTGATTTTTTTAATTGAAAAGGAAAATTCTGGACTGGGGAGGTGGCACAGCCATTAAAACCACTTTCGCACAAATACAAGGATAAGAATTTGGATTCCAGCATCCAAGTAGTGAGCCAGGAATCCCACAGACAATGGAGATTTCACCTCCACGGGGTCTTACACCCTCTTCCTGTCTCTGCACACACAAGGGCACATACACTAGTGTATATACACATAGAGACATGTAAATAAATAAAATAAATATCGAAAATAAAAATTTAAGCATTCAGTATTTTTTAAAATTCAAGAACTCTCCAAGAAAGGTCATATAAGTCAATGGAGAGGGGTGTGACACAGATCTATGACATTAATTAGTGTTTATTCAGAGATAAATCTTGCCTGGCTCTTCCATCTTCTGTGGACATTGTGTAGAACAACACACACATACA